GCTGAGGAGCTGCAGGGAGGCAGGGCAGAGCCGTGGGGACCAGGGCATCGTCCCGAGCCCCGGCCCCAAGGCAGGGAGGTCCTGGGGTGCCCCAACACCCACCTCCTCCTTCTTCTGCTCGTCAGACTTCTCCTCCAGGTACACAGATGCAGGGACGAACTTTCGCGCCGGTGCCTCCTTCGGGGCCTCGCTCACTGGGAGAGCAGGAGGGCTTTGCCCCATGGCTGACACACCCCACGCCCGTTCCCCGTGGGTCTGGGGCCCTCACCCTGCCCCTCCACACCCACCTGGTGTCATGTCGGCTGGCCGCAGGGTGGGACGGCGATGCTGCCCATCCTGCCCTGCCAACCAGGCTCTGCCACTGAGGGCTGGCTCCCACCAGACACGGGTCGGTGGGTAGATATCGTCCTGGAAATACTCCTTCTGCGGGGACAAGGGGTGCTGAGCAGGGTTTCCCCATCTCCTACCCCCATAAAAACATGGCTGGGTACCTGCCACCTACCTTGACACGTGGCACGTGGAAAGCAACTGGCTCGAGGGTGCTCTGCCCCAGGCGCAGCGCCCGGGCGAACTCCACCTCCCGCACCTCGCATGACGTTTTGGGCAGGAAGATGAAGCCCTGATAGGGCGGAGGTGTGAGCAGGGCCTGCTGTGGGCCTGGCAGCACAGGCAGCAGGCTCAGGCACAGACAGCATGACCCCAGCAGGCCCCCCCTTTACCTTGTGGGGTTCATTGGAGGTGAAGCTGTTGCACTCGAGGAAATAGGGGGGCTCGGGCGTCACCTCGTAGAGGAAGACTCTGGTGTCACCCTGGGGATGGGGCGAGATGGGGGCTGGCAGGGGGGTGCATGGAGGGTCCCTCTGCACTGCTGGGGTGCTGTAGGCAGGTAGCCCCCAAATTTTTTTGGGCGGCAAGCCCTCACCTTGCCAGTGAGGAAGACAACGCCTGTATCCTCATCGTAGAAGGGCAGGAGGGTGGAAGGGGCCACATCGAGGCCAAGGACGGACAAGGGTCCCTCGGGCAGAGCCTGCGCCCGGTACAGGAGGATCTTCCTCTCACTGCGGCTGTGGGGAGGTGACAGTGGGGAGGGAGGGCACGGTGTCCCTTGGGGACCCCTGCCCTGGTGTGTGCCCCCTTCTTTACCTATCAAAGCCGGACACCAGGAGGTAGTCGCCACCGCAAACCCAAACCACGCGTGCTCCGCGGCCCCCCTCGGGCCCTGGACCCTCCTGCATGGGGTGAAGGTCACCCTGCCTGCTCGGAGAGAGCTGGGGGTGCAGGCACCTGCCCACACCCCCAGCTTTCCATCCCGTCCCCACCTCTGTCATCGTACCTGTTGAGGCTGAGGGCTGCGCCGGGGCTCGTAGAGCCGTAACCGGCCGTCTTTGCTCACCGTCGCCAGCTTCTTCCCATCAGGGCTCCAAGCCAGGCTGAATATCTGGGGAGATGGATGTTGTGTCCCCCTTTCCATGTCCCCTGCCTGGCCAAACATGCCCCTCGGTTGTCCCCAAATGTGTCATCCCTTACCTGATCAGTGTGTCCCTGCAGGCACAAGGCTTCCTGCCCGCTGCTCAGCTCCCAGATCCGCACTGTCATGTCGTAGGAGGAGGAAACAAGGAGATCAGATGCCATGGGATGGAAGCGGATGGAGTAGATCTTCTCTGTGTGACCTGGCAAGGGTGAGTGGTACATGGCTGTCCCCACCTGTGCTGGGATGGGGACACCATCTGGCTGGCTTGTCCCTAACGTGGGATGCTTGGTGTGCCTTCCCACGCGCCCCTCACCTCGGAGGACAGCTTCGGGCTCACACAGCGTCTCCTGCAACCCTCCCTCGGGGATCCGCCATAGCCGGATTTTGGCATCTTCACCTGCTGCAGCACCAAAAGGGACAGGCAGTGGTTAAGCTGGTGATCTGGCATGCCCGGTGCTGGGGGACTAACCTGGTGTGGTCTCCTGGGGATGGCACACATACCGACTGCAAGGCGCCGCGGGTCGAAGGGGTCCCAGGAGAGGTCGGCCACCGCCGCACCATTCTGGATGGTGGGCACGGCTGCATCGGGGAGACGTCCCGGCTTGGAGAGCTGGGGGAGAGAGCCAGGGGGTCACCTGCACTGTACCCACCTGTGCTGTGCCGGCCACTGTGCCGTGCCGGGGGTACCTCGAGGATGGCGATCTGGCCGCCAGCGGAGAGCAGGGGGAGGGCGACACGCTGGTTGTTGGCGCAGAAGCCGTCGCACTCGCCCGGCGTGGTGAGGCTGAGCCCCCGCAGGTTGGTGAGGTGGGTGTCGCGGTGCAGCACCCTGCCCTGCGTGTGCCGGAAGCGGGAGCTGGGCCCTGGTGCATGCGGGGAACAAATGAATGCCCCAGGTCCCCCCCTGGCACGGCCCCGGCCAGGGGATGCCAAGCCCGCCCTGCCGCCTCCTCACCCAAAATGCTCTGCAGTGATTTCTGGCTGGGGCTGCTGACGAAGCCGCTTCAGATTTTTTTGCAACAGGG